GAGAGTTACTTTCACTCTCTTTTCCACCAGACCGCCTCTAAAGCTCAAGTTTAACCATGTGTTTCTCATGCTGAAGCAGAGAGGGGTGCATGCATGTCTTCCCTCCTTTGAGCTGCACACGTCAGCCCTCAGAGAAACTAACCTTGGAGGACATTGTGTAACAAAATGAGCGTAAACACGTCGAGCTTCTCACTCTGAAGAGCTCAGGCACGAAGAGAGCGCCATTCACACTCTCGCTGTTGCTCTTCACGAGGTTGTGATAGACCTTGTGGTAAGTCTCAAAGATGAAGGTGCTTTAACAAGAATCTGCAGCTCAGGCTTCTTTGCTGTTTCAATGTCAGTCTGAAATAAAGGGGGTAGTAAAAAGAAGACACAGGAGCTTAAAGTTAAACACACCTACATGAGATTATTATACTCCACAAAACTATACAACAAGAACTGAATCAAATGAAACATGCACATGAAGTGTGCTTGTGTTTTTGTTTGTTTTTTGCCTTCATAGTTAGTGTGGTATTTTGTGGTTATTTATTATTGAATATTTCGATCTAAAATTAAAGCATCGCTTGAAATGAAAACACATTTTAGTTTTAAAGTCTGAGTCAGAGTCCTATCTTCACTTTGTTTACATCGCCCGGACGGCCGGCTGACTCCTCCCCTCGTGTTTAAAAGTTGTTAAATTGAGGGACTAGAGAAAAGAAGAATAACATACTGTACTCACTGCTTAACTGTGTTTCTAGATCACGCTCATTTCAGGTACATTTACATGCAGTGTGAAGATACCAGCATAATAAAGATCGCTAGCATTAGCATGCTAACACAACAATGCAGCGCGAGTTGTTTTGGTTTCATGCTGGTGCTCAAGGGCGACATCTGCTGGATCAAAACATCATATATAAAGCCTTTAAAGTAGAAATTAAGTTTTTCCACTGTGTCGTCTTTTTGTTCGGCGTCGTCTTCCCTAACGACAAAATGTGTCCAAACGACGGACATGGCTTCCATGTCGCTCATTGGACGTGTCGTCATGAAAATAATCTAAATGATTCCTGTTTTATTTTGTCTTTTCTTATCCTCGTGTTTCTATATGTCCTATAGTGAAATTCTTGAGTTCTCCGGTGTCTTTAGTGTTTCCTGCTTTATTTTGTAGTCCTTGTCCCCAGTCAGAGATGCTACTAGTCAATAAGCAAGGCAGGCAACGGCTTAGAACCCCAAACCAGTAGAGGGTCCCCCATTCCCTGCTCCCCCACCCCCCCACCAGAGGGCTGACAAACTTAAAACCACAGCAGTGGCTCAAAATGTGCAAATTCTGCAATGACAGTAGGAGACCTCCTACTGGGGCCCCATCTGACAGCACTCCCTCTCCATGCCCTGCTAAGCATCAGCAGCAGCATGATTCGTGTTTTCCATTGTCATTCTTATGTCTACCTGCTTGTTGGTTCAGTTTATTCAGACTGTAAAAGTTAGATTTCTCTTTTTCTTAAATTAAATCCTCTCTTTGTCCGTTCTCTTTGTTTTTGACACCTAGACGGACCAGCTGTGTCTCCACGCTGCAGCTGTCGGGAACACGTTCATCTTTTTTCCCCCTCTGTCCTTAGATTGTTAAAAAAAAAAAAAACAGCGCTCAGATCCTATGGGAGGTAATGAGATGTAAATCCCACTATGTCCCTGTTTAAACTCTCACAGTATATAACCTAACCTTAAAAACCTCTGGTGAACAGGCTGGCACATGTAGTTCTCTAGACGCTGATCGACCTGATTTGACGCTGTGCTTTGAGAAAAACAGCTCAGACTTGAATGTATTTGGTTTTTTGATGTCAGGGGAGCGTCTGGCTGTCTGTCAGTGTCTGCCCCCTCGCTCCTCGCACCAATGCATATATACTCTTCATGTGTTCTCCTGCCTTTGTGTTTCTGCCTTTCCCCGGGTGAGTGACGGCCGCTGTCTGATGCAGGAAACAACCATGTTAGATTGCCTGTTCCCTTCGTAATGGTTGTCCAATTTCATGCCTGTTAGTCTTGTTAATAAGAGCGGGGAGAAGAGCGAGAGCAGAGGGCCGATCGCCGAGCTTATGGACCCTTTGATTAGGGCGCATGGTTTGTGATGCTAAGAGACAGTGTCACATGTCCTATAAATACACCGGCTCACAGACACACACAGGTCGTGCGTATTGTTACCACCTGTCAGACCTTATTGATGATCGTCCTGGGGGTTGTAAAAAAACATATACAGGAGACGCCGTTTCATGAGGCGCTCTGGAGAATTGAGTTTGTAACTCTTGTTGATTCTCTTTAAGAAAAAAATCAACACGTCCTTGGAAATGCGAGAAACACTAATTGATTCATTCATCAAATTATCGCTCAAAGTAACATCATTACAGGACAAACAGTCGCAAGAATATGATCCAATTGATTAAACCGGCTTTTTTAAATCAAGCTCAATTAGAGACATTTATTCCAACTGGATTAGCTGCACTAATTATGGACGTCCCGCTGCGCCCAGAGGCCTGGGAAAAAAAAAACCTGAGCGGATCATTTAGATCCCCTCATTACGATGTCATGAGAGGAGACGTGTGAAATGAATGAATGATAGATGAACCGGGTCATCAAGGTGAGAAACAGATCTGTGTCTTTAAAAAAAAAAAAGAGCCTGGCAGGGTTGTTAGGAGTGAAAGAAGAGCGGTGGAATAGTGAAACTGAGTGTGTAGAAAAAGGAAATTAACATGTGAAATCAGGTGCGTCTGAATATGTTTTCCAAATCGTGATGCGTGAAATCATTAGTGCCACCGGTGATCTGGCAGAGTTCGATTCTGCTTTGTGATTCTGATGTTTCTTAGTTAACATAACAGTGTATTCCTAGAGCTCCTGGAAACCCAAATCCACAAAAAGCCTTTAAAAGGAAGAATGTGTGACTTTTTGATCCAGTAGATGTCGCCCCTTGAGCTCCAGCATGAAACCAAAACAAACTTCCTGTTTGGCCACGCCTCCTCCATACTGAAGCCTCCGCTCTCCTCCAGAGACACACCTCCAACCCCCCTTCCACTCACGTTTGCCCAAAGGAGTTATCAAATTGGAAGGCACCATAATTAAGCGCTGAGCACGAGCAAAATTGTCCTTGTCTCGATCTGCGTTGTTGTGTTAGCATGCTAATGTTAGCGCTCTTTAGTTAGCTCGTAGCTTCACATTGTTGTGTTAGCATGCTAATGTTAGCGCTCTTTAGTTAGCTCGTAGCTTCACATTTCATGTAAACTGACACAGAATGAGCGTGATCTAAAAACTCTTACTAACATCCAAATAATCAGTGAGTATGTTCTTCTTCTTCTCTCTAGTTCTTGACTAAAACAGCTTTTATACACAAGGGGAGGAGCCGGCCGTCCCGTCCATGTAAACACGGCTCTGACAACAACACAGCCAGCGGGACTCGAGCTTCTCCCTCACTGTAGACAGTCAGGACTCAGAGACACATTTACACAGGATCTATGGTTTATTTATGTTGAACATGTCGCACATTCTTCCTTTAACTGTACGTCATATCACCTCTCTAAAAGTATTAGACATTACCTTTTAACCGTTTTAAGTCTTTGATCATTTTCAGATGTTGGCTGTTAAGTTGGCGGTGTTAGCTCTGAGATTTATACCCAATAAAGTTCAAACCAATAATAGAAACATAAACGCATGAGCTGCAAAACAAGCTGGCTTTTGAACAAGTTCTCCTAAAAGTTCTGAAAGTTTATTTTCACTCCGAGATTTGAATTTTTAATATCTCACATCTGGTTTTCTGGGGCTTTAAATGAGATAAAGGATTCCTAATGTTAGAAAAACCATCATGTGTGTTTCCCAGTTAAAATTATAATGCATAGTGCGAGTTCTGTGTAAACACTTTTGTGTAAACTGCAGCTGTAAATTATAAAGATAACCACCAGACTTGACAACCTCCGACTGACAGGCGGTATCATTTTGTCTCTGCACTGTTGAACATTGTGTGCTGAAGACTTTGCAACTCGTTGAGCCTCTCTCGGGAATGCGTCGATAAAGCTGGCATGTCAAATCTTTTCTTTCTTTGAATCAGAAATGGAGACACGATGTTAACACACAGAGTCTCTCTCTCTCTCCAACAGACCTCACATTTAAAAAAGGGAAACATATGCTGCTCTGTTCTCCACAGCTTAACACTCCACAGTGTTGAACACAAGAATCTCTCTATCGGACTTTTAAGTTAGATTTTTCTGAATGAGTGCAAAACAAAAGACCGCACTTAGAGCTCTTGATTTGGTAATGGAGGCCTGACTTTGATGCAAATCAAAGGACATCAGTGGGAGGATAAAACTGAATATTTATGGACTTTGCAGACCCAGAGATGTCCCAGAGTACTTTGGAGCCTTTTAAACAGCAGATGAAATTGCGCTTGAAAGTTGTAGGCAGGTCGCTTGACGGATACTCAAGTACCTTTCACTATTGTGTGCAGACTATTAAAGTACCTCTCTGGTGGATGACACAGTGACGTACACTCATATTGAGACAGCGTTATTAGCGGCTGGCATTTTGGAAGTAATGCATCTTCAATCTTTCCTAAATGTGGAATGTGGTTTTTTAGATGTAAAAAGCTGAAGACCCAGCTCTTTCATGAATACCTACTAACTTAATGATGATGGTCTCCATATTATTGATGATGATGATGGTAATGACGATGGTTTTTGTTTGATAACGACGACTTATAAGATGGTTTCTATACTGATTAGAGCTCTCAAGAACTGCCCTCAATGTTGTGCTTTGCCTCTGGTCACTTCCTGTCAGCACCTGTGTGTCCAGTCAGACTCAAAGCTGATCGTTTGCTCTTACTAATTGTTCATTGTTCCCTTTTTTTCTAGATCCTTGCTTGTGTTGTTCTTACTCTCTGATGTACGTCGCTTTGGATAAAAGCGTCTGCTAAGTGAATTGTAGAATTTGTAGACGTGTTTTTAGAATAATCATGTTAAAAAGAAGTCCTCTCTCTCCGCTTCAGAATGCATGAACGACGTGCAGAAACCGCCTCTGAACCATCTTGGTCCTTGGCTGCGGGGCTGTGAGCTGCGACCATGGCGTATCCGAACACCAGCATCCTGACGGCCAACCTCAGCGGCGCTTTGGACGGCCACAACTTGGGGGGAAACATCTACCGGCCCTTCTCTGTTTTCAGCGTCCTCACTCTGACTCTGCTGGCCATGCTGGTGGTGGCCACCTTCGTGTGGAACTTACTGGTGCTGGTCACCATCCTGAGGGTGCGGACCTTCCACCGGGTGCCCCACAACCTCGTGGCGTCCATGGCGATCTCCGACGTGATGGTGGCCGCGCTGGTCATGCCCCTGAGCCTTGTGCACGAGCTGAACGGGAGGCTGTGGAAGCTGGGCCGCGTCCTGTGCCAGGTCTGGATCTCGTTCGACGTGCTCTGCTGCACGGCGAGCATCTGGAACGTGACGGCCATCGCGCTGGACCGCTACTGGTCGATCACCAGACACCTGCAGTACACGCTCAAGACGCGCAAAAAGATATCCAATGTGATGATCGCACTCACCTGGCTGCTGTCCTCGATCATTTCGCTGTCGCCTCTCTTCGGGTGGGGGGAGACGTACTCAGAGGGGATGAAGTGCCAGGTGAGCCAGGAGCCGTCCTACACCATCTTCTCCACCTTCGGAGCGTTCTACCTGCCGCTCTGCGTGGTGCTGTTCGTTTACTGGAAGATCTACAAGGCCGCAAAGTTTCGGATAGGAACGCGCAAGACCAACACAATCACGCCCATGGCCGAGGTGATTATTCACTTTCTGTTTATACTCTCATTGTAGCAGCCATTTTCTGGTTATTTGTTGTTTTTGTTGTTTGTGAACAGCAGGGGGCAGTGGGCACCTTGCCAAGCACATGGGTTGATTAGGAAACCCTTTAAATGTTCCAGGTGTGTCACTGTTGGGTGGTGCACCAGGAAGGAACACAGGTCAATGGGATGCAGTTGGAACTGTTTGTATGTCTTAATTCAATTTCATTTCATTTTTTTTAATTTGTTCCGTACATGTCAAAACACACAACAGAAAAGGAAAGGAGCAGGGAGAAGAATAAATCAAATATGAATATCAAAATGAAGAAAGAAGAGAGGCCGACTGGACATTGAACTTATTGCGTGCGTAAGGCCTCACTGGAACGGTGCATCAGTGGCTGTTTGTTTATAATTTTAACTTACAGGCTTTCTATGTGATTTTTCACATATAAAGCCTTCAAATATAATAGAATGTGCCCCCCCTCCTTGTTTTCTCTTGTTTACTCCATTTAGAGAGGAAGCTTAAAGTCTTTCTATGTGATTTTTCACACTTAAATGTAGAAATCAAGTATATCCTCTGAAAATAACTCTGTGAGTCATGACTGTCTACAATGGGTGTAACACCCGAGTCCCACTGTCTTGATGTTTTCAGATTCCTATCTTCAGTTTGTTTACATCGCCCGGACGGCCGGCTGACTCCTCCCCTCGTGTATAAAAGTTGTTTAATTGAGGGACTAGAGAAAAGAAGAATAACATACTGTACTCACTGCTTAACTGTGTTTCTAGATCACGCTCATTTCAGGTAAATTTACATGCAGTGTGAAGATACCAGCATAATAAAGATCGCTAGCATTAGCATGCTAACACAACAATGCAGCGCGAGTTGTTTTGGTTTCATGCTGGAGCTCAAGGGCGACATCTGCTGGATCAAATAGCCTTTAAGTTGTTTTTGGACAAATAGCCACAGTACTCATCTTTATAAGTTACTAAACCATTACTGCTAAATTCCACCAGATACGTTTTGGGGTCAATCTCTACAAACAAATATCTGCATGGTATTTCAGAATCTGTGGGTAAGATATTTGGTTTCCATTTATACTCAGGGTAGTGTAGCAGGAAGGAAAACCTTCATTGTAGAAAACAAAACAAGCCAAACCAAACCCAGTGAAACCATACCTCATCCACCATCCTCCCGTTCCAATCAAAGCATCAAACATTAACATGTATAATTCTTTAAATCTGCTTATTAGTGCAGATAAGTTCATGAGAGAGAGAGAGAGAATGAGTCTTGGTTTTAATGCTTAAAATAACCCGAGGCTACACTTCTGAAAGCCCAGAAAAAAATTGGCTGAGCCCCAAGAGGCTAAATGGTCTTTAGACGATAGCCAGCGGGTTCTGAAATTAGATATGTGGTTTCCATGAGGAAGGACAGTCCTTGAAAGAACCAGAGCTGTATCAGAAGTTTCCTGTACCACCACTTTGTGTAAAGCTCATGCTAGGATGCTGTTGTGTTAAAAAGTCGGGCCCGACCGAAATGGATTTATGGGGCCGATACTGATATTGGGAAATCAGATACCGATATATCGGCCGATATCTTTCTGAAATATATGTTCGATCTCTAGAGATAGAGATAAACACACTGATTGTATTGATCCCTCAAAAGAAGTTATCAAAGATGTATAATGAAGACAAGATGGTCACTGAACTTGAGATACTCAAATGAAATGCTTTTTTGACTGGTGAGTAACTCTAGTAATATCAGCAATCATCTGCAACAAAAACATGCCAATATTGGCCGGCCGTTTAATTGGTCAGGCTCTATACATAAGCTACATGTATTTTTAAGATGTTCTCGGGTGGATGAAGGGAGAAAGAAAAAGGTCCAGGAATGAAAAAAATCAGAGAGTCGAACATGTGTGGAAAAGAGCCACTTGAAAGCCTTTACCAAAAGGACAACAAAGGTGACACATGAGTAAAAGATCGACTCCAAGTCAGGCTCAGAGTTGATACTTCTATTAGATAAAGAAGGTTATTTAACTACGATAGGAGACTTCAGTACTGGTACAACTTGAAGACGAACACAGCAGGAGGATCAACAGTTACTTATCTGTCATGATGATAATCAGGAGCAGAGATGGGACGAAGAGGAGAGGCCTAAGTGCAGATAGCAGCAAGGACGGGACCCTTTAAACAGACCCGGTCGATATCCAACTGGCAGCAAACAGACGAGGCGCTGGCCAAACTGTCAGTTTCCCCGTTCCTCATGTCTCTGGGCAGAGCGATTTAATGGAGCCTGTTCAAGGACGGACGATGCAGCCAATGTCGGCCAATATTGCAGCATAAATTAGACATTACAACAAGCTCATAGCGGGAGGGGAGGGGAGGGGGGGGGACCGCAGAGATCACAACCTGAACATGTCAAATTGGAAAATGTACGACACAGAGGGAGTGATTGTAAACATGTCCAGTGGAGCCTGATCACACAGAGCCGTCGTACTTACACAGCTACTGAGTGTGTTTACATGGACCGGAGTATCCCGGTTATTGGTCTTATCCTGGTTTTGATCACATTCAGGATCTCATGTTTACATGCACACAGAGAAACCAGCTCATTCAAATCCCTGTTTTCAAGATAAATACTGGTATCCTGCTTTCTGATCACTGCATCTTATTTGTGCAGGCGTCTGTGATGTTTAGTTTTTAAGAACACAAATCGTCTTCAGTACTTTGTGACCTGACTGTCTCCACCGTATGCGTCCTGTAGCCTGTTCACCACAGACTTGAAAGGTCCCCATTTTGGTGCTTTTTCCCCCCATTTCAAATTCTTTTGGGGTTCTCCAGGTAGAAAACTCAAGTTTCTCCAAACCGGGATTAAGGGCTTATCCTGGTTTCTGAAATCTTGGGTTTGATGTTTACATGCACAGACTCGATCAAAACCGTGATACTCAGGTCCATGTAGACGCACTCAATGAGACAGGAAATGTTAGAGCCAATCAATGTGTCAGAATGCAGAGAAAGCCAAAAGAGGTCATGTTGTGGCCTAAAATATTTCATGGGGGGATACCTGCCAACACAAAGAAAACAAATCAAAACAAAGAGCCTCTATGACCTTCTCTATCTCAATAACAAAGACAACGTTTAGCCACTTGTGTGTGTCAAGACTGAGGAAATCAAAGGTACTGGACCCGAGTGCAAAAATATTTAATGAAACCAAAAAGGCAAAAGGGCAAAAACAAACAAAGCTTACTTACTTAAAGTCCAAGAAAATCCAAAGGTAGGGAAACAAAATGAGCCATCGGGAGAAAATTGAGTTAAGTGACACAGAAGGAAAAAAACATACCTGGGCAATCAAACACAGGTGAGCCCAACAAGACACAGGTGTGACCAATGAGCACAATCAAGAAGGGAGGGAAACCACACAAGGAGGAAGAATCACCGGACATGATAGACAAGGGCAAGAACTTCAAAATAAAACAGGAAACACTAAAAACTAAACCAGGGAATATCAACAGGAAACAGAAACACGAGCATACAAAATGACAAAATAAAACAGGAAACACAAGTAGGCAACAGAAACAAGGAGGAAAACAAACTAAACGAAGGTCAATCATGACAGCATGAGTGTAGAGGCATGCACCACATGCAGAAGTCATGTCAGACTATGACTCGCTGTGGCCTAATATAGAGAAAAGCAGACATTTGAATGCCTTGATTGACCAATCAGGATTAAGTATTCAACATAGAAGTTACACTGTGACAGAAAGGTTAGTTATCAGCGCCCTTATTATCATTCATATGACATGATTTATTATTCTTTTTTTGGACAGGCTATCCAGCAGTGATGGAGCAAACACAAGTATCTTATGTTCAAGCATACGGACAAATAATTGCAGCAGTCGTGCTCATCACCAGCAGCTTGTTAATGTGCGTCGGCGGAAGGCTATAAATACCACCCCCGGCATCTTTAATGGGCCGCCGCAGCACCTTCCTGACTGTGGCCCTCCTCTAATCAGCAGACACAAAGGTCTAGGACTGTTCCACGAACATTAGCAAAACATTTAATCAGGCAAATTCTCCGCTTGGAAAAATTGTGAAGGCGCCCACTTTCAACCTGCCCTCATGGTGGTAAACACAATTTGAAAAACCCACCTGAAACACCTCAGAGATGGAGACATTACCTCTCATCTCAGAGCAAACACAAATTATCCCTCACATACAAAAAAAAAGGCTTCTCATGGAAAATACTCTGCTCATCAGAGTCAGCAAACATCAACAAAAAAGGGAGAAATGTTGGAAGGAAAAAAACGCGTGAAGGCTTTTTTCTCTTATTTATGTAATGCATGATCTCAGACATTCCCCCGTATTCCTCAGAATACCCCCAAAGCTCTGCACGTTTGGCTTGAAATGATCAGCTGTGCTCAAGGAGAACCAATCATCGGCTAAATTAGCGCCATGTTTTATCGCTTTGACGGGCCGATTTAAGTGTCTAGTTCCATTACCCAGGCATTCAATCTTGTACTGATAGCAATTAAACGGAATATGTTTTATTAGTCGTTTTGCTTCCCACAGACGTACACACAGCTCAATATCGCTCGTAACAAACTGGTTTCATTACCCAGCCAAGGTTTCCCGGAACAGAAGATGGGAGAGTCCAGGCAGCGAGCTCTGCAAAGGGCCCGCACATGGAGTAGTGATGTGAGGGATGGCATCAGCATCCAAGATAATAAACCTTTTAATCTCATGCATCAACAACACGCCCACTCAAAGACATAAAGACCTACGTGCACACACACAAACACACACAAACACACTCATGGCACTAGGAATAGAGTGTTTCGATAAGAGAGGTGCAGATGCACAAATAGCTCAGAATAACATTCACCAAGAGCCATAAAATGTATACCGCTAATATCACCGCAAATGTTGTTAAGACTCTTTGGCCTGATCCACTAAGAATGGAATTGCACCTGCTGATAGCACCATGAAATCTGCCTCGTTTTAGCACCCTATAAACAAAAGAATTAGCACTAATGCTATGGGCCCCAAAGTTGTCCCGGTCCGTGCACTATACTCTTTTTTTTAGCAATTTTGAGAAAAGCCGTCTGCACCTTTTGCTCTGCAAGGAGATGAGCTCTGAGCTGACGGAGCTGTTTAGTCCACATTAAGATGTTGAGCTCAGAGGAGGTTTTAATTTGATGCCAGACTTTTAAAAATTACTTAAAGGCTTTATATTCGATTTTTTGATCCAGCAGATGTCGCCCTTGAGCACCAGCATGAAACCAAAACAACTCTCGCTGCATTGTTGTGTTAGCATGCTAATGCTAGCGATCTTTATTATGCTGGTATCTTCACACTGCATGTAAATTTACCTGAAATGAGCGTGATCTAGAAACACAGTTAAGCAGTGAGTACAGTATGTTATTCTTCTTTTCTCTAGTCCCTCAATTAAACAACTTTTATACACGAGGGGAGGAGTCAGCCGGCCGTCCCGGCGATGTAAACAAAGTGAAGATAGGACTCTGAAAACTCTGAAAACATCACAGACAGTGGGACTCGGGTGTTACACCCATTGTAGACAGTCATGACTCACAGAGTTATTTTCAGAGGAGATACTTGATTTCTATATTTAAGTGTGAAAAATCACAAAGAAAGACTTTAAGCTTCCTCTCTAAATGGAGTAAACAAGAGAAAACAAGGTGGGGGGGGCACATTCCTAAACTGTAAAACTATGACTTTGTAGCTGTTCATTTTTCTATTCTTATTTTATAGTTTATTATTTAATGAGTGGACAGATTGGCCCCAGAGTTAGAAAACAGAGGAAAGATAAGTAGTTGGTGAATTGGTATGAAATTTGGAAGCCCTAGACAATTCATATTTTTGTTGCATAGTTTTGAGAAATGAATAACCCCGGAGTCCATGACTGTACCCACATTAGAGTTAAACCAATGACCCGTACGATGCACACAAAGTGGTCACTTTGGAATAGCTCTGAAATAAGAAATGTGTCAGGACGACTCAGATTACTGCTCGATTTAAAAACTCTGCTTTTTGCTTTTTTCGGGGGAGGTTTAATGACAGAAGAACATATTTTTATTTTAAGTGAGCCGGTTCAGACTAAGCTTGAGGGTGCATCACAAACTCATCAGGGATCCGCCTCGTGAAGGAGTTTCTGCAGTTAAGTGCACATTTGATCTAGTACACCATTTGGTTTATAAAGTTAAAAGTTTTGACGCCTCCTCCCCAGCAGCCCTTTGCTTTTAACCTCTGGCCTCTGCTCTAAATGGATTTGTTCCATCCGTTTTATCAGTTGCACTTCCTGCTGGTCTGTATTGAGTCAGTTAAATTCCCTCCAGAGGGAGCAGGTTTCTCCGTCCATGTGCTGGATCTTGTTTGAACGTTGAACAGAACTCAACAGTTAGCCGTTGTTGCTCTTCACCTCAGACATATTTTCGAGGGATGTTTGTCTTTATAAAAGCTGCTGAATGAGCTAGACAGCTTGACCTTGATGTGCATGGAAAAAGAAAAGAGTCAGCCGTGAGCCGAGCCAGTCGACACATGAGTGAGGAGACGGTCGGCAGATTAGTGTTGACATTTTCTCTTTTTCTCTGCAGCATGTTTGTGAAACGGCTCACAATGGGCTTCTGGAAAAATGCAGATTAAGACACAGCTCCAGTCTGTGTTTGTGTGAGTGTGTAAAATGAGAGAGTGAGTGCCGGCTTGTTGATCCACCTGTTCATTCACACTTCTGTTCAGCCGGCTATAATCCACCTTTTGTTGAGCGGTCACAAAATGTACACTTTTTTTTTTGGAGATATTTCATTTTCTCATGCTAACTAGGTTTGATAACTAATTTATGTCTCTTAACCGCTGCCTCCCAGGTGAAGGAGGAAACACATCAGCCGCAGATGGTGTTCACCGTGCGCCACGCCACCGTGACCTTCCAGACGGACGGCGACACGTGGCGCGAGCAGAAGGAGAAGAAGGCGGCGCTGATGGTCGGCATTCTCATCGGCGTGTTCGTACTCTGCTGGATTCCCTTCTTCATCACAGAGCTCATCGTCCCCTTGTGCTCATGCGACATTCCGCCCATCTGGAAGAGCATCTTCCTGTGGCTGGGCTACTCCAACTCCTTCTTCAACCCACTCATATACACCGCCTTTAATAAGAACTACAACAATGCCCTGAGGAACCTCTTCTCCCGGCAGCGCTGAGCTACTTTGCACGCTCAGCAGAAACACTTCACCAGCATGCACTACTCAGTGTTACAGAAAGGGATTAAACCCGGTCTGTTTCTACCACTCCATCCTTTCTCCAAAAGGATGATAACTAGAAGCTATGTCTTTAAGACTGTTTCCAAAACGTTGTTCTTTCTATGAATGTGTTGTTTTTGTTCTTCACCATGCTGAGCTAAACTCACAGCTGGACTGAGATGGGTGTCTGAGCGAGGAATAAATTGGCTGTGTTGTGGCAGCAGCAGCAGATGCTAAGTGATGTCTACATGTCGGTTTTCTTTCAGGCTTATTAGGGGAAAAAAAGAAGGAAAACTCCCTTTTTCATCATCACGAGAGGCTTCGAGGAATGGTTTCAAAGTAAGGATGCAAGAAGAAAAGGTGTTAATCATAAACAAAGATAGAAATTTGGATTGTGTACGACACCAGACAACAAAAACGCTGAACTATGTCGAGCAGATTTAAAGTTAAAAACTACTCGAGAAGCGTCTGTTAGAGAAACACAAGAATCTACAAATACAAGCTAAGAAGAAACCCCCCCCCAACAGCAAATCTACCAAAAAACAAAAACACAACACAGTGGTGCGGAAAATACTAGCGATCTGGCAGGAGAAACTCCGAGTGAAGTCAGAGCCCATAACAGCTGTTTGCATTCACACATGCAGTTTCTCCTGGAAGTATCCAGAGAAGTGTTAAAGCTCTAATTATGATGAATGAAGACTTGACACCATAACAAATGAAATAATGTAAACGTCAGGTTTATAAAAAAGTAAAGAGATAAAATGCTCAATAATCACACAAACTCCCGGGCGTCACATCCAATCAGTTTTCCTTCCATATGCCACCTACCTTACACTCTTATGTGTATGTAATGAAAGCAGGGAAACATCAGCCGATATAAATGTAATGTTGTTAAGAGACAAAGTACAGACGATATGTGTACCTGTGTTAAGCTTCTAAATGCATCATCTGATCATTATCATGATCTGTTGCAGGAGAAAATAAATCAGACATCTTGCTTTATTGTACGAGGGAGCGAAAGTGAAAACTCCACGTTTAAAGTAAGACTCATGGAGTTATACTGCAGCAGGGTGGGGTTGGGAATAAGAGAAGTAATGTGAACCAAATATCCCTAATGGGCTCAGCACACTAAAGCTATGCTTCACTTGGTTTAATGATGTTCTCCAAGTGAGCCTCTTTATCATCTTTTACACAACGCCTCTTTTTCCTGCACAAATAGTCACTTTCTTCTGATGGTGTTCAACACTGTGGAGTCAGAAAGCTCGTCTTCATTAGATAATGTAATATATTGTAATGTAAGGAATGAAGCATGATAAAGTAGTTCCTCAGCTGATGTTGTGATATATCTGCAGTAAGCTCCTGTGGAGAGAGAGAGCAGCATTTGTTCAACCTATTTGAAGTCCCTGTCCAGTGAAAACCATGTGTTTCCAGATGAGGAGATTTTATTTTTCAGATTAACTTAAGTGTTAAAGGTCCAGTCAGTGAGATGTGTAGTGAGTGAAATGATAAAGGTTACTATCTGATCAGACATTAAGGAAACATGCTATGTTGAAGTGCTGGCTTCTCTGACAACAATGCAGCAGCCAGTATGTCCTCCTTCTAACTTTAGATTCTGCTCCTGAATGCTCTGGATTTGTTTGGACCAGAGAAGGTAGGCGCTTTTAAGACCCCCCTCCACACGGCCGTTTTGGACGCCCCTCGGTTTGCCAGATATGAGAGCAGTTATCAGGTCAACAGGTGTTGCAGCGATGGAAGCGGTCAAGAGAAGTGGTTCAGATAGAAGTGATTGTACCCGACCTAAAAAGCCTCTGCATGTTTCTAATAAGCTCCACGAGCAGAAACGTGCTCAAACTAGGATCAATATTGGAGATGCTTTTGAAAAATGGAGAGAGGTTAGAACACAGAAAGGTTTACAGACCCATGCAGAGCTGGATAAACACTGAAGCTTCAGAGTCCACCACATGGTGACCTGAGTGAACATCCACTCTAGAGAGGAGGGGGGGACAGCTCTCTATGATGTTTAGAATTTAGACTGCATTACCTATTTTAAACACTTGGTGTCAGAGCTACATACTGCTCCTTTTGGGTTAAGACAATTATTTTATCTTTAGCTAACCGTTTATAAGACTTCCTAGCCAAGCTTGACTATGTTAATGTTGAACATGTTTGATTTTTTTATGTTTACCTTGTTAGCTCTCTGTGCAGGTATCATAAGGAAGGACAATTAGCAAGCATTGTGTAGCAGCAAAACAACGTTTATGATGCTAAAATGACCATGAGGACATTGCCAACACCGTCAAGTTGGATCAGTTTAATTTTTAAAATGCTTATGGTGTTAGCTTAGTGTGCAAACCATGATAAGGGTTAATATGTAGAACTTACAAAACAGCATTACATTTGGACGCATTTGGTTACAAATGGCAAATCAGCAGTTTCAGGTGATGATGGTGCTATACAAAACGTCAGGTGAAAAACATTATGAAGCTCTTAATCATCCTCAGGGGAACATTACAGCTGTGCCAACTCTCACTGCCATTCTTTTGCAGATAGTCGGGGTGTGGGTGGTGCTCGAGTGAAAACCAGAGAAACATGAAACAGGAAGATTTTGTTGATTCTTGTTTGCTTGAAATAAGTCGATCTGACTGGCCGTCTTTCAGGACGTCAGGGGGTCTCAAGAACTCTGCACAACTGTTTGTATTAGAGATTTGTAATCTGAAGGTTAAGCATGGTAAACACTAAAAGAGAGCGCCTGCACGTGACAACAAATCATCTCAAAACTCGTAATCTCGCGCGGTCAAACCCGACTAAAAGTAAGCAAACATGACGGTCAAGCTAAATGTGGCTAGCTGTTAGCTACCTGGTTCATCCATTGCGGTAACAATTCCCTCCCTCGTCAGTTGGATTGTGGATCGTCTTACAGGACATGTTGTATAAACACTCATGTTGTTGCCATAGATCAACACGTTGGTCCGCGATTTCTGACGCCCATCTAACTTTGTGCTTCGCGTTTGCTGTCGTCGCCATGGTGATTCTTGTTTTTCTGCTTCAGTCAGCTCTCTTCCTGATTTGCTTTTGTTCCGTTCCATGTGACCATTTCTGATCGTCTTACTAGAAGAGGGTGAAATCACGCTTAACACACCTCACACGACAGGAACATCTGCCAAGATCTTTTTTTTTTAACCATCAGGCCTTTGCTGACTTTGTTCGGTGGGGGGGGAATCAGGCTTGAAATCGGCCCGTTTATTTTGTAGTGTAGACCCCGCTTTGGATGAAAACTGACCTGCTGACAGCTCTTGTACAGTCATTGATATTGTGAGGTTAAATCCACTGGACTGTTAAAATCACTGCAAATGTCATGGCGATCAATCAGATAGTTTTTGTACAATTTTACTGGAGTCGTGTTTAGTGGCAACGCTAGCGCCACGTCGCCACCACGGCTAAAAATACGCACTTTGTTCGTACAAAAGGTTGTGTCTCATCGCTGTTCAAGGAAGTTTTAGCTCAACATTAGTTGACATTTTTATAGATACACTGTTTTCACGTTTACAATGATGTGGTTCAAATAGTAAAAAACATGGACTTAATATAATAAAAATATAAGAATGTATGTTTCTTTTTTACACAATTTATTATACACTTAGGCAAAGTGTCATATTTTAAGGTCACATATTCCACTCTGATCCTGTATTTGATCATGTCTATAAACCCCTCTATTTCAGCCCTGCTCAGAACAGGCTGTTTCTGTGTCTGTATCTTTAAATATGTAAATGAGCTGTGTCTGACCACGCCCCCTCTCTGGAAGGGCTTGGGTGTACTCTGTTTTCTCGCTCTATGTCCTATTGTTTACGGTGAGAAGGCAGACTCAGAGGGCAGAACAAACACCTAGCTGTGGGAGTGTCACCCACCTGGGGGAGGGGCTACTGCCCTTTGTGATGTCATGAAGGGAAAACAGCCTGTTTGAGCACACATTTTCTGAAAAGTGGAGCAGGGAAAAGACGGAGAGGATGGACTTTTCTCATTATTGGGGGGTTTGTAGACAGACTAGAGACACATGTTAGAGTCAGAGAAACATGGTGAAAGAGGATTTTAAATAATATGTGACCTTTAAAGATGATTAAAGCCTATACAGTCTCTACCTGACCTCAGCCTTCTACATAATTTTGTACTTTTAAATTTAACACACAGACTTCTAATAACTTATCTTATGAGTAATAACAGTGTTTAATTTGTACAATTTCAAGATTAAAAAAAAGACGAAGCCTTAATTGTAAAATAGAAATTATTAAAACTATACAAGATGATAAAAAGATGAATTAAAAAAAAGTGTTCTGTGGTGATGAAATGCATGAGATGTAGACATAGACACTGAATCACTATTATGACACTCTTCTATTATAAACACATGACAGTCATGGTGAAGCTGTTCCCTCTAAGCACCTCTCTCATGTTTTAATCTCATGACTCGCTGGTTGACTCGAGTCCTGTGGCGTCCTGCAGGATCCGAGTATTTAAATTACCTCACCGCCCGAGGACGGTCCCCCCCCCCCATTTGCCCCTCTCTCTGGTCTTGTTATGTGTGATGACCTATAGCTCAGGTAATGCAAAGTTGCAGAAATGTGTCGTTTACCTCCCATCCCTTGTTTCATTCTTCCTGTTCAAAAGACGAAGAGAAAAAAAACGTGGGCAATTACCTCTTTCTTAGAAATCCATTTGTTTATCCAAACCTAGAAAAAAACATGAAAGTAGTGAATGTGTTATGTGTAATTGTGTCTGTTTTTTTCAATGTGTGCATGTTTTTCTTCCACAGAAGCCTTGGATGATAAAAAATGACAAAAAACTATTGCTTAATTTGTGTTTCATGGCGTGAAGCTCGGCACTTTGACATAAAAGCAAATAAAAGAGACAGTTATTTAAGTTTGCTCTGGGGCACACTGTTAGATATTTGCAGTTGGCCACACACAAACACACACACATGACAGAAATGAGAAACATAAAGAATGTGCTGTGTTGTTCAGTGTTTCAGTTTGGATGATAACACATCCACATGAAGATCATTCCCTGAACACTGCAGGTCATTTTACACACAGATGTCAGTGTGCCCTCTATATGTATGTTGACACTGCCAGCGTGCACATTTCAGGTTCCAGGAGAGACTCTGCTGCTGTTCAAAGGAGCTCACCAGTCCGTGTTTTCAGGCCAAACTGAATGCGTGAAAAATGTGGCTTGGCCAAACTGACTTATAGGATTAGAAAACGATGCCTCAGGGGAAGGCAAACGTGTGCTTTAGCAGAAATATGAAAAACCTGCATCCTCGTATTCAGCGTAGTGTGTTTGCATGCTCTGAGGAGATGGAAAAATATAACAAAGGAGTTTAATATATTTCAAAGCACACACACACCTGTCAGACTATGCCGCATGTCTTTAAAAAAAGCACCTGCTGTATGAATGTTTGCACCTGCACCTGACTTCTTCCGTGAAAGTTTAAATGTAAACCCGGAGAAAGTTCATTCAGACGAGGCTTGTAGACAGGACCAAGCTCTGCACTTCCTCATCTCTCTAATGTTAACAAAAAAAAAAAAGGAAGAAGAACGCGTCTTCTGTCTCAATGCCACTTCCACTATGACTGTGTTGTTGCTCCACTTGTTATTCTGCGACAGCTCAGTTTTATACAAACACAAACAGCACAGCGGGATGGTGGAGGAGAGGATCCTGGTGAGTGTGTATGTAAATGTGTGCAGCGATCTCGCTCTTTCTCGTTCTGCTCCTCGCCAGCTTTTAATTCAGGTTCTCGGGGCAAAACAGACGTGATTGTTGGAGAAAGGAAAATTGGAATTTCTAAAATGCTGCGGAGGAGATACAATCTGATAAACCTTTCTTTGCACGAAGACGGAACAGGACGGACAGAGCTAACTAGATTTTTTAATATTTCTGTTTAATATTTAAATGCATAACCTTAGCTGGTGTGCTCAGTGAAGCTGTAAGTTATTACCAAGCCGCAACCTAAGTGTAAAATCCTGCAGTTCCTGAAGTGTCCACTAGAGGCTGGCTGCTGAATCTGTTTTGACATGCACCCCACATACATTTTATTATCTTTTCATGGCCTGGCAGAGAGGGTTTTTTTTTAACCAGGCTGTAAACATGTTCATCTCTGCTGTAAAAACAGGCTTTTTAGAATGGGTGTGTATGTGACTTCCTGTGCTTCTGCAGCCAGCCTCTAGTGGACACTCGTGGAACTGCAGGATTTTACACTTCTGCATCGGCTTCATTTTTCAACAGCTGTTGGTAAATCCAAGTAAAGGACAGACTTATCTGGTGGGAATGCACGTATGTTGGGGGGTATGGTCCTCTGGTATA